TGATGAGTAAGCTGTCACTCACCCACATTTTGCCACAGGAAAGGCAGCTGGGATACAGAAAAGTTGTCCACTTACTGAGGTCAGTCAGCAGAAATGCCTGGTAAATGTTCATGATTTAGAATGGCCACACTAGTGATCATTATGTATATCGTCAGAGGATGCTGCCAATCAAAGCTTTAAATTCAGAACATGACATTTTCAGCATGGGCTTCTTCTCCTCTCAGATAATTAGACAAACACCAACTTGAAGAACCAGAGGTACAAAATGTGCTAGTTAATCTTGCTTGTCAACTTGGTTGGATAAGAGACTCCTGGAGAAGCGACTGGCCAGTGAGAGAACCAACCTCATGGGTGGATTAACGGCTAAGCTGGCTATGAGGATGTGGCACTTAGACAAGAGAAAGTGAACCAGGGCAGCATGGCCCTGGGGACATCCCAGGGACCATCCTTTCTGGCTCTTTCCAACCTGCTCAGTTTATTGACTGCGTGTCTTTGAGTTGCTGTCCTTCAGGCCCTTCTGCTGTGATGTCTCTGCCTTGGAGCCAGCTAACGTGCACTAAAACCGCGAAATAAAGCACTCCTTTGAATTTTAGGTGTCAAGTATTTTGTCCCAACAACAGAAAGCTGAATACCATACAATAAGATTGAGAAACCCTCACTTCACTGTTTATGCTAATTCATTATTTGGTGGAATAGTTTCATTAAAAATATTTCTTCTTTTCTCTGATTCATAGATTAGGATGATTGTTAGAAATTTAACAGCCACAATATGGGCCAGCTCTATGTGCCATTTTGTTTCTGCTTACCCATTAGGGTAAAGTGACTCTTGGTATAGATAAGCTTGCCTACTATGAAAAGCACGAAAATGTGAAAGGGTTCTGCTTAAACCTCACAAAATGTCTTTTCACTTAATTAGATTTCATTTACAGAAACTGTCATATAATGATATTTTATGTTATAGTTAGAAAAATATATAGAAAACAAATGTTTAGAATTAGAACACATACATAATCCTTTTGATCTTCTCAATTTTTCTCCCCATGTCACTTTATTATGAATGGAGTAGTTTAGGTTGCTCAACCTTCTAGTCAGCTGTAGAGCTGGCTATAGAGGAAAGGTAGGTGTGATGGAAGACAGTATGCTAAAGGTCTTCCTTCTAGACTAGATCTGTGGTACACAACAGGACTAAAAGAACCACTGAACAAATAGACACTCTAAACATCTTGCTATTATCAAAACTTCCACTGGGACTTCCGGGAGAACATGGCGGACAGATAACAGCAACTACCGGAGGCTCTCTGAAAACGAGGCTCAGAAGTCAGGAAGGGTGCGGACTAAAGAGACATAAGCAGGTGGAGTTATGCTCTGCTGACTCAGGAACGAACTCGGCTGAGAGAAACCAACTTGGAATGCAGTCCTGGCGCTAAAACAGGAACAGAAAAGCCTCGCTGCTGAGGCTGGACCCCACGCCATTGGAAGCACGATTTGGGTTTCCTGCCGCGCAGTGGCTGGCTGCCTCTACATCGACTCGGCAAGGAGAGAGACGCATGGAAACTCTGAGAACTGGAGTCTGCGAACGGAGTCGAAAACAGGACGGCAGGGAGGCATGTTCTGACTTGTGGCGAGGTGAGTGAGAGAAACTGACACTCCACCACAGTTTGACTCCAGCGGACTTTCTGGGCCTGGGCAGTCCTGCGGGAGCAGGGCACGGTGGGGACTCCAGCCACACATTCCCCTCTCGGGCGGGATTGGTGAAAAGTGCCTGGCCTGCGTGACGCTGTCAGCGGACCCCGTAGGCTGCCCAACCCAGATCCCAGAGCCCAACGGAGGCCGGGAGGGGCGGGCCCCACCTAGGCTGCCTGGTGTGCAGCGGTGAGTGGGAACACCTAACCGGCGCAATTCGATCAGGCTGTGGCTGACAGGGAGAGAAGCTGGGCCTCTCATATAAGCTTGCATATATAAGGAACAGAGAATATGGGAAGAGGCAGCAACAAGAAAGGCTCCTCGGCCCCCAATTCTGAGAAACAGGCAATAGCAGACACCGCACCATTACACATAAGGTGCCATATAGAGAGCCTTATAGACCAATTCAGGAATGAAGTTATCAACGACCTGAAGCTAGAAGTATGCAAAATAGTTAGAGAAATGCTAAGCACCACCCAAGAAAAAACAGATAGTGGAATGGAAGAACAGAAAAAGAGGGGAGAATTGTTTGATGGAGAAAACAGGGAAAGCATAGAATACGTGAAGCAGGTTCAAAGGGACTACCAAGAAACTAAGAAGTCTATCCAAGACTGGCATAACAGCTTGAAAGAAACTAAGGACAGACTATCTGAACTGGAGGGCAGAATTGTAATATGGGAGAATGAAATGAAAAACTTCTTAAAAATAACAAAGAAACAAACAGCAATAATACAAAGACAAGAAGATGATAAGAGGAGCCATAACTTAAGGATTAAGAACATAAAAGAAGAAGTAGGGACACAAACAAATGAACTACAAAAGCTACTCACAGAAATAATCCAGGAGAATTTTCCTAATTTAGCAAAAGGTAAAGATACTCAGATGTATGAGGCATACAGGACCCCAGCTACCTACAACCCAAACAGAGCAACACCCAGGCATATAATAATAAAAATTCCAGAAATTCAATACAAGAACAGAATATTAAAAGCTGTCAGAGACAAGAAACAGACCACTTACAAGGGAGCACCCATCAGAATTACAGCAGATTTCTCTGCACAAACCATCAAATCACGAAGAGCGTGGGGGGAAATAAATCAAGCTTTGAAAGATAATAATCTCCAGCCAAGATTGAGATATCCTGCACAACTGTCCCTGGAAATTGATGGAAAAACAAGGTGCTTCCAGGATAAAGAGGAACTGGGGGAATTTGCAACCACCAATTCAACTCTACAGAGAATATTGCAGGATATTCTAAAAAAAGAAAAATACAAAGAATCCAGAAATAATGGAGGCCACAACGAATGGAGCAGAGAACAAAGTGAAGAAGACAAACTGACAGCTACTGACAGAATAAGAGCTCAACAGAAATGAGGCAGAGAAGATTGGATGATAGGAACAGCTATTTTGTAGAAAATGACATCTTAATAGGTAATACTGATTTAGTATTGTTTTGAAGTCTCATCTAGCTTTTGTCCTTCTGTCTCCAATGGTCCAAATAGGTTGTATCTTACTGGATTTTATTATGTACGATAGTATAAGCAAAAACCTTTTAAAGACAAGGAGATTATACAGAAACCATTGTTCATTTTCTGTTAGTCGATTCTAAATGCTCTGTAATGCTGTCATTCTCTTAAATGATTTTACATTGTTTTGATATACTTAATGCTACAGTATACGAAGTTGTACTCAAGGATTTCAAGGAAAGAGATAATATGGTAACTACTTTTAGGTCAGGATTATCTGGTGGTGAAACACTATTCTGCTTAAATGGTTATGTTTTGATCTGTGCTGTTTCGTTGTTATGCCCTCTTTTATCTCAATCTCCACTCCATTATTTACTTTTTTATTTTTATCCGTTTAATTAAAGGAAAAAAATAGCAGGATATATTATAGTAACCCACTTTGACTTTCCATTACCTCGATTTAAAGCCCTGTATTGTTCTCACCATCTGGTTTTTAACTGATGTTCCCCTATTCTGTTTTGCTGGATAGTATCAGGTTCGAAAATTTAGGCATCAGCTGTGAAGATAATGAGATTCATTATAACGCCCATTCTCGTTGACTTTTATCTACTTTTGAAGACCTACAATGTCTCCAATGTTTTGGTTTTGTCGGTTTTATTCTTTACTGTTTTGTTCAATTGTATTGTAACTAACGATATAGGCAATTCTATTAGAGATAGCGGGAGGCATTATAGTAACCATTGTTGATCACCTTGTATTATGTTTTCACATTATCTATTATGTACACCCTTTTGACTTGACCGATTCTGTTCTGTTATGTCACATTTGGTTTTACTCTCTTCCAAAAAAGTAATAAGAACCATGGGAGCAATGAAACCCAAAATGTGTAATAGTCATTGTACAAAAGAGAGGAAAAGAAAGTGCTCTATACTATATAACTGCATGTATATTTAAGTGTATAAGATAGAAAATGATATCACAGTTTTATTGGATCATTGAACAGAACTGTTTGCAGTATCATTGATGGAATGTCCACTTTACAAGCTTTAATTTTGTGACTTGAACAATTATTTCTAAGATGACAATATGTAATCCATTAACTAGTGATTTCCTACTGTTCATTTTTTTTTCTGCAAATCTGTATAACTTGTACCCTTTCTCTGCTTTTTTTTCTTTTCTCCTTAAATAAAATTAAAAAAAAAAAAAACAAAACTTCCACTGGGAATGGTAAGGTATAAATAATACTGTTTTAAAATCTCACTTTCTAGAAACAAAGCAATTAAAAAAAAAAAAAACTAAAGTCTAAATGAGGCTAGGTATGGTGATGCATGCCTGTAATCCCAGTACATGGGCGGCTAAGGCAGGTGGGTTGCTGTGAGTTTGAGGGCAGCCTGGGCTGCATAAGAGAGTTCAAGGGCAGCCTGCACTACATAGTGAGATGTTGTCTCGAAAGAAAAAAGGAAAAAAAGAGAGAAAGGCAGGAAGAGAGAAAGAGAAAGAAAGAAAGAGAAGTCTGAATAATACTGTTTTTCATTGGAATGACTGCTGATAATTAGTTAATGTTTCATTTAATTATCAAGTGTCTAGGAGATACATGTCTCTTATTTCCATTTTAACTTCTTAATTTCAATATAGTTATGAATCACTTAATCTTCACAGGTCTTTTTGTCATTCAATTATAGTTTTGACCTAGAGGTATTTTACAGGCCTTACTCCACCCTTGGCCTTGTTTTACAGGCAAAGTGTGGATGATCCTGGGTTACTGTATTTAAATTTAATTAGAGATAAAAGACTAATAAAAAAAAAGCCAACCACTGTAGCAAACTGGATGCCTTTCCAATGTGTTCTTACCTTCCTCTGGTGGTCTTCTGTAGGACCTTCATGCCCACCAGACTGCAGACATGCCCTTCCAACTCTGTGTCCTTCAAAACAGCACCCTCCAAGTGCACCTCACCAAAGATTCCATAAGCGTCTTGCACCAGAAGGCAGACTCTGTAAAAAAAAAGCATTCACATTTGGTCTTTGAGGAGAGTTTGGATCAATACAGAGGTTGTGATTTCCTCTCCTTCATTAGAAATATACCATTGTCTTCTTCCTAAATGGTTGAGTCAGGACAAATGAGGTTAGATTCAAGCACATACTTTTTGGATTTGTACAGGCAGGTGTTTGGATAGCTAGCAAAAAAATGAAGAATTCTTTTTTTTTTTTTTTTTTTTTGTCTTTTTCGTTTTTATCGGTACCAGGGATCAAACTCATGACCGCACACTTGCAAGGAAGGTGCTTATGCCGCTGAGCTAAATCCCCAGCCCCAACAATTCTTTTTTGGCATGAAAAGGATAACACTTAAGCCAAATGTGTTAAAAAACACAAAGATTATAAAACTATCTTCTCAAACCAAATATGTTACCACTACTCAGAAACAGTGTCCCTTCTCCTATTTTTATGCTATTCCCAAAGAAAAGAGCCACTTTATATGTTATGTGAATACTTAATACTGAGGAAAGCTTCAGTGCAACATGATGATTAAAAACAGTAAGGAGCACTCCTTGTAATAGGTACCTACTTACAGACATGTAAATCCCAGCAGCGTAAAAACCAGTGTCCAGCTGGCACCAAGCTGGACATGATGGATACCCAGGGTTACAGCAAGATTTTCCCCAATTTTTAAGTTCAAAGGTTGATACTTATGAAAGCCTATTTACGCTTAAATTTCTAATTCTTACTTCATAATTTAGGTAAGTCAAGCCATTTACTACAAAATGATACATTCTCAGAAGAAGTTTCATAGAGCCTCAAAACTTTAGCCAGAAAATACTACTACAAAATAGACTGTAGGATATAAAATTGCTTTACAGATAAAACTGTAAAGGAAAAAAACAGATGACAAAGGAACAATGTGAAAGGGGAGGTTAAATCTAAGTCAGAAGCATCAAGTGCTGCCTGAGCAAACACGACAAGAACTAGACTCCCAGACGTCTCCCAGGTCCACAGGACGCCCTGGTTTGAAATAGAAAGCAAAGGGAAACCTTGCCTGAAAGAAGGTGCCTCTCACTGGATTGCTAGTCTGCCATGGAGCTAGAGCGCCGAAGAGCTCTCAAAAAAGCCACCAAAGAGGGAAACAAACCATTATGTGGGAAAGTTTAAAGAAATAACATCTTCTAAGGACTCAAGATATTAGATTAACAGATATAAAATTCAGAATAAATATTTAAAAAGTTAAAAGTCACAAAAATATTAATAGGAGACAAGAAGCTATAGAACATGACTTGGCATATTTGAAGAAGCATGAAACAGAACTTTCAAAAAGGAAAACTGCATTCATTCAAAGAATGAACTCACTGAGTAAGGGTAACACATGGCTACATTCATCTGGAGAGTATGCTAAGAGGATCTAAGTTCTAGGTTTGAATCAGCTACCCAAAGTGCAGCCTGCAAGCCGAGAGAAAAACAGGCACGATGACTGGAGAAACACACAGGACAGAGCAGGAAGGATAACATGCCACCTTCGGAGTCCAGACAAGACAATGGAGGAAGGAAGAGATTATTTGTAATCCAGTGCCTGACAATTTTTCCCAACTGATATAAGGCACAGAAAGAAAAACGAGTAACAAGCAGGACAACTGAAAGGAGACCTAATACACACACTTTCATGAAAATACAGAACCTCCAAGGGCACCGGGTTTTATTTTTATTCTGTGTGTGGTCCTGGGGAGTGAGCCCAGGCCTTCCCCAGTGAGCTGTGTTCCCAGCCCTTTGAAACACTTACTTTTGAGAGAGGATCTTGGTAAGTCACTAAGTTGCTCAGGCTAGGCTTGAACTATTTTCCTGCATTAGCCTGCCAGAGTGCTGGGCAGAAAAACAGCTGCATGTGGTGTTACCCTAAGAATTCAGCTGTGTAGTGACTTTAGAAACAGTAGAATTAGTTAAGTAAAGTCTTAGCCAGACAAGTATTGTAACTGGTTTACCTGCACTAAATTCATCTCCTCTGCTCCTCCTCTCTCTCTCCTCCCTTCCCTCTCCTCCTCCCTGTTTCTCCCTTCCGCCCTCCCTCTCCCTCCTCCCTGTAGTACTAGGGATTGGACCTAGGGCCCTGGACTAAGCTGCATCCCCACTGTCCCTCTTCCTCCCCAAGACACAGTCTTGCTAAGTTTTCCAGGCTTGGTTTAAACTTGCTATCCTCCTGCCTCAGTCTCTAGGATTACAGGCATGCACCACCATGCCTGGCTGACATTTCAAAAGCAAGAAGCACACACACATACACACAAAATTTTTAAATTTTATTGAAATGATCTAGTATCTTTTAGCACGAAGTACAAAATGAGAAGATTTTAAAAGAACAACCTTAAAAGGAATGGAAATTTGCTTTAAATCAGCCTTTCACTAAATCATGAATAAAGCCAGAAGCCCATGGAGTATTTTCAAAATTCTCTTTTTGGGAGATAGTAATTATATCCTGGCCTTGAACTTCCAATCCTCCTGCCTCTGCCTCCCAAATGCTGAGATTATAGTTATATACTACCACACCTAGCTTATTTTCAAAATTCTGAAAGTTACCTTACAATTGTGTGCCAGCAAAACTATCTTTCAAGAATGGTGGTAAAGACATTTTTAGATAAAGAAACAAGACGGAGCATTGTCTATGTAAGGTGCCTGAAATATTTAGTAAGTATTAAGGTAAATACTAAAATAATGCAAAAATTATGCACTTTAAGAAGAACAAAATTACCTTAGAAAATGTATCTGAGACATAAGAAGTATTAAATTTGAAAAATATAAACAAGTCATAATAAACAGTGGGATAAAACTGACAGTAAGTTAGTATTAAAGAATACAGAGATGAAAAACTGGTAATGGATAGCATGAAGGTCAAATGGGAGTGCCAAGTTCAAATGTTCCCAAGTCCTCACATTACTCTATATGTAAAGTTATTAATTTAAGTATAGTATATAGAGTAAAATTATTAAAAGAGATATAGAGAAGAAAACTTTCAAACAAGGAGAGAAAAAATGGAATTGAGAATTATATGTAAAAAATTTAAAAAAAGAAAACATGAGAAAGACTGGAGCTAATTTTTCATTTAAAGTCCAATCATATTGTTTTCCTTCCCTCTCACAGGAACTGATGACTTAGGTTCCAGCATGCTATGTGAGAGCAGGAATGAAAACACATATTATATTGACAACTCCAGCCCTTTTACATTTTTATTTTGAGCTAAGGTCTTCTTAAGTGGCTACATTGTCCTGTCAGGGCTTAAACTTGCAATCCTCATGCTTCAGGTTCCAGACTGCTGGGATTTCAGGTGTGAGCCACTACACCTGGCTAATAATGTCTTTGTTTGTATACCAGTCCTGCTCACCCGTTAGCCCCCTCCTCCTCTGATTTCTCTCGCCATTCCCTGTATAAGTACGGAAGTTGTGGCAGACCCTTGACCAGGATACAGAGGTGGGACCAGCCTGCATATCCTGAGAAGGAGGTCCCAGACTCCCCTGTAGAAATGTAGAATCACAGTGACTCTCTGACTCCAGCACCATGGCATAAGGGCTGCCTGTTCACTACTGATACATTCCATGCTTTGTGTTACTATTTCTTAATATTTACAAAGGTCAAAGTAAAAACAAAAGTCCTCATGAATACAAAGCTCCTCCTTTTCTGTTGTGCTGGAAGGGAGCGGTGATGAACTGGTAAGTATTTCTGCCTGCGTTTTGCTCTGGCATTTGTCGAGGATGGATTTCTTGTTTGCTGCCTCCCTCTAGAGATGACTTACCGAACCCCTCCTCCTTGGGTTTACTCCAGGCCATCAGCCTCTCCCACAAGGCTGCACTGACTGCCCTGCATGTCAGTGGCATGCCAGCTCAGGCCCGAGGTGGATTCATCATCCCCACTGGTTCGACTGGATTGGAACTGGTACTGAACATATACAGTCTGAACCAGAGAGAGCTTATCAACAGCACAAACCAAATTCCATTCACTTGTCAATGCTTCCTGTTCGGTGAAACTCTACCTCCTAAAATCAGTGCTGGGTGACAGGTCTGAGCAGAAAAGAGCCACATGATGGTCTTGTTTTTCCTGAATCACCAGATATTTGCCTTAAATTATATCATATCCAGTAAGACCTCATGGCTTTAAAGGGAGACAGCATCATGTTAGAAACTCTGGCCCTTGCCAGAGGAACTTACATGTATGAGGTTGAGTTTACTGATTTTAACATGGGAATTCCAAATCAGTAACAGTTAGAGGGCCTTGTAAGCATTAGAATAACCTCAATGAAATAGGGCAGTTGTGGCAAACCTATGGGACGTGTGTTATTGCTATTTTTCTTTAAAGACAAAAGATGTTAAGGTATGAGTTATTTTTTTCTAAACTAAGACTTCAGTATTCAGGTTTTATTGCAGTGTTGGCACTTTGTGATAAATAAGCAGGTTTTGGGTTGCAGTTTGGCACTCAGTCTCTAAAAGGTGTGGCCTCAGTGATAAAGGGGAAGGCTCAGTGAATGACACAAGTAGGTAAATCATTCCTTCCTGGGATATGTAGGTTTAAAAAAAACATTTTTTTTTTTTGTTTTTTGGTTTGTTTGTTTTGTTTTTGTACTGGAATTGAACTGAGGGTCTTCAAACTGAGCTACATCTCCCCTATCTGAGATAAGCCTAGCTAATTTGCAAAAGCTGGGCTCAAACTTGCCATTCTCCTGCATCAGCCTCCCAAAGAATAGCAGGGATTACAGGGGTGTACCATTGTGCCCATTTTTGTTCAATTTTTATAATAAAGTTTTATAATTTTCTGCATACAGTTCTTGCACATGTTTTGTTAAATCTGTGCCTAGATTGCCTATGGCTTTGTTTCCTGTTTTAAATGTAGTTTTGCTTGCTGTCATGTGTATTGAACTGCAATTGACTTATATACTGAACTTTTTTAATCCATTGATCTTATTATATTTTCTTATTTATCATCCTTTTATGTAATCATTCTGAAATGTTGATTTTGCTACTTTTTTC